AATTCGTTGCTCGCACTTTCCTATTAGCATATTAATGAATTTCGTTTGACGTAATAAAACCCGACGACAGAAAAATCAATTATTCATTCACGATGTACTCTATTTGTTATCTAACTACTAAATAAACTAACGATTTTCAATAGATATTAATACTCGAGAGAAAAAGAGAGAAAGAGAGAGAGAGAGAGAGAGAAAGAGAGAGAGAGAGAGACATAATTATTATCGATTTTTATATACTAGACATATCCATTGGATTTCGATGCCCTTCCATCTCTATTTCTCCCCTTCTCTCTCTTTTTCTCTCCCTCTCTCTCTCTCTTTCTTTCTCTCTCTGTCTCTCTCTCTCTCTTTCTCTCTCTCTCTCTCTCTCTTTATTTTCTTTTTCTCTTCATCGAGAAGAAGTAACCGAACTAACCGACATAGCAAAATTTATCGTTAACGTCGATAGACTAAGGTAATAGCCCGTGAACTACCCAATTTCATGTGACCTTCGATAGACGTTTCTTTTCCCGTGTGTTAGCTAGTAGAAATACGGAAGAAGAGGAAGAAGAAGAAGAAGAGGAAGAAGAAAAAGAAAAAGAAGAAGAAGAAGTAGAAGAAGAAGAAGAATGGAAGAAAGTTAGAAAAAAAAGAAAGAGCACGATGTTGAGAGCCATCTCTCCCCACCCTCTCTTCACTCACTCTCTCTCTCTCTCTCTCTCTCTCTCTCTCTCTCGCGCTCTCTCTCTCTCTCTCATACTCTCTCTTCGTGTGGCCACGGCACATCCGACAACCCCTACGGATAGATGGAATTGGATCGGACGGGTAGAACCGCTCGTGGAAGAGGGTGGACAAGCTTTCCTACAGGCTCACCACGGGAATATACGTTCGTATTCGTGAATTCGTCTATGTGTTAGTTTATACGTATATAGTCCATACCTGCTCTCCCCAGAGGAATATGTTATTAGGCCTTCAGGATTATGTACTTCTCGATAGGGAGGAGAGAAGAGAGAGAGAGAGAGAGAGAGAGAGAGAAAGAGAGAGACTAGGGGTTCGAAGCAGCGACTTGGAAACGGGGCCACTTTAACGTCCCCTCGACGACGACGTCGACTACGACGTCGACTACGACGACTACGACGACTACGATGACGACAATGTTGAGGACGACCCCACGCTTCAAAATCTACTGACGATACGTTCTCGGAAAATGTATAGACATAAACAAATATTACGGATGAATACCTATAATATATACGGAGGGTATGTGTGTGTATGTGTATATGCATTTGTGTATGTGTGTGTGTGTGTGCGCGTGTGTATGTGTATGTGTCTGTGCATATATTTTACCTTTTCCCAAAACCCATACTTTATGGCTATATGACTATGGAAACGAGAAAAGAGATATCGAGTTGGAGTCACTAAAGTGTCAATTGTTATGGCATTTATTTTTCATGAATTATACGCCCTTAACCGTTCTAATACCTTTTTCTTTATTTTTTTCTTTTTCTTTTTCTTCTTTTTTTTTTGTTCTTTTTTCTATTTCAATGGAATAAAATGATATACAAGTTTTAATGTCTCGCTATAATGTTTATCGTAAGATTTTTGTTTTCTATTTCTTTGCATTAACGAAATCTGGTTTTCTTTTTTTTTCTTTTCTCTTCCTTTCATTCTTTCTTTCTTCCTTTACCTTGATATGAATTAGGAAAAGAAAAAGGAAGAACAAATTCTAATTCTAATTATTATTGTTATTATCATTATTATTATTATTATTATTATTATTATTATTATTATTATTATTATTATTATTATTATTATTATTATTATTATTTAAATTGTTTCGTTCTCTCGTGTTTGCTATTGTTAAAACGATTAATCGAATACTGTGATAATTATTATTTTGATATCTATATCATAATTTGTATATTAGTTAAAATCTTAGGGGAAATATTTTAAAAATTGAAATTATAATATATTGAAATAATAGATATTATAAATAAATCATTTTAGTTTACAATATATAGCTAATTAATTTCAAATACTTATACGTATAAATCATTGTTCGGTATAAATCAATATTCGTTAAAAATAAATATTGAGGGATACAATGATATTAATCGTAATCGATATTAATCGATACGAATAATTGTTTTCAGATTGATTGAATTTTGCTGAAAGAATATGACGTGAATGTTTTTTTTTTTTTTCACAAAGACAACGGATTGTTCTCAAGGTTGACCTTCGGACAACTCTGGTGACAACGTTACACACGCGGAAATTACTAATCGCACGGAAATAATAGTTGGACGAGCGATGCGGCGCACGTTGATTCGTTTTTTCCGCTTTACCTCGATTCAATGACGTTCACCTCGTAACTTGGCGAGACGCCAAGTCGGAAATCGTTCAAGGACCTCTTTACCATTGGAAAACCGATCGATTCTCAAGGTTACAATGATTCGTATACAATCGTATACAATCGTACACAATCGTACACAATCGTACACAATCGTACACATTCGTACACAATCGTCGTTTACAGAATCTATATTGCGTTTTAAAAAAGATTTCACTAGGTACGTTAATAATGATTAAAAATAAACAAATACCTATGGACAACTATCTTTTTTAATGAACATAAACGATAATATGTTATCGTGTGTATATATATATATAGAACGTATGTAAAAAGTATTCAACAAATGGATCCATTACATTACATAATTACGCGCTAAGTTATCGCGAATTAAAGGTCAACTAAAGTTGAAAAGCAACGTTAATAAATGTGAAATAGAAAAAAAAAAAGAAAAAACTTCGAAGAGATCGTTAATAACCACAAAAAAAAAAGAAGAAAAAAGAGAAATGTGTATAAAAGTAACACAAATATAAAATCAAAAATACTAGCGCCGCGAACAAAACGAACATTAACATAACAAGTATATACCGAACGATTTATACTTTTGTTTTCTTTGTTTCGTATTCTTAAATAATTAACAAACCTGAGCATAATGAAAAAAAAAAAAAAAAAGAAAGAAAAAAAAAAAGAAAAAGAAACGAAGAAAAATAAAAAATAAAGAGAAACGTTGATTTATTTTATTATTTAATTATTTATATATGGTTTCATTATTTACGCTTACGACGAAACAAGAATTGTAACGTTTCGATATTAACTTGAACGTTACGAAACACAAAACCCTTTTCTACCCTTCGGTCAAACAAATATACATCGAGAGATGTATGCGCGTTCTGTCAAACGAATCGTGCGGGTAAATACGTAAGTGCAATTTAACTCGTACCGAACAATAATTAATATGCAGTGACGTACGCGACGATAACGTGCGCATGCGTCCATATGGCATGACAGAGAGAGAGAGAGAGAGAGATAGAGAGAGAGAGAGATAGAGAGAGAGAGAGAGAGAGAGAGAGAGAGAGAGACCCTTAATCCGCAGCTAATAACGTGGATATATCGGACCAGCCGCTTAACCATTTCATGGCAGATGTCTAGACCAGAAACGTCAATCATGGACCACCATTACACTCATACGTCCTCCAACGTTTTGTTTTGGGATCACATAGTCGTGTTGGGAATGTAAAGACCATGTAACAATACATAACACATCGAACATATATCGTAGATAAACAATCAAAACCGGTCAGAGATCATTGATTATAGATTGATCAATGAAATTCTGTCAATGAATTTATTTTACATTGTAATAAGATTTATGATTATATTTTTATGATTATTTCAATTGAATTGAAGTCAATAACAATTGGATACGATCGGAAATGTAATTGAAAGAAATTTCGGAGTAAAGAATGAATAAGAAAGTGAAATGATTTTATTATAAAAAAAAAAAAAAAAAAAAAAAAAAAAGAAGAGTGTCTTTTTCTTTTCTTTTTTTCTTTTTCTTTTTCTTTCTTTTGGAAATTGTTGAGGAATATTTAAACGATATCTGTAATAAATATATTAGATTGTTTCATGAATAAGTATTATTACAATGAAACAGCATTTATTTATAAACGAACTCAATAAATCTTTACGATATTTTATAATACTAATTTATAGTATTATTATTTTCTTTTAATTTGTAACTAAGAGTGTATATACATATATATATATATATATATATATATACATATATATATATATATATTTTTCTTTTTTAATAAATTTTTACTTACGATATGCAAAGAGAAAGGATCAAAATATAGTTAAACGTACTTTTCTTTTCCTCAAATAATTAACTCGAACAAAAATTGTAAAGATCAAAGAATCGAAAAAACGTCTCAAATTGTCCCAATTTATATAAATCGACCTATGAACTTTTAATAGTAGAATGTTTACGTAGAAAAACTACAAAAAAAAAAAAGCAAAAAAGAAACGTTAATAATTTCAAACGATTCGAGATAATTATCAGGCTTCGTTTGAAAAAATAGGATACGATCGTGCAATTCCACGTACATATGTATATATGTAACTCTATCCGTATACGTACATATGTATGCTTGTATGTATGTGTCCAACGATGAAGGTTTCTAGGATATATCAAAAGAGATGAAAGTGAGAGATAGACGAATTGTACGTATCTCGTTTCGCGCGACTAACCGATATCTCTCGAGCGAGGGGTTCCTGGAGATCCTTGGGGACGTTTGCGGGAGAAACAGTTATGAAAAGGAATGACGCATCGTTTCTCACAAGCGCATTATTACCCCCTCCCCTCCCTCCTACTTCTCCTTCAACACCACCATCGCCAATACCTCCTCCTCCTTCTCCTCCTCCTTTTCAACCGAACCCATCCCACCTTTCTTTTTTTATACTCATTTCACTTACCTTGTTACGTCCACCAAAATGCAATATATGAAATTGGACGTTCTCCCTTTTCTTTATTATGGACATTCACGATAACGCGTCGCTTTCTAAATATTCCAACAAAACATTTTTCGAAATCCATTAGAATTAATTGACATTGATACGAGAAAAATTCTAATACCGTATTATATTTAATACAGTATTAAAAATAATG